GTCCAACCTACTACTGACACTTCACTTTAATACCCATCAAGATTTCCCGTCCAACCTGCCACTGAAACTTCGCTTACCCATAAAGATTTCACCGTCCAACCTGCTACTGACACTTCACTTTAATACCCATAAAGACTTCACCGTCCAACCTGCTACTGACACTTTGCTTACCCAGAAAGATTTCACCGTCCAACCTGCTACTGAAACTTCGCTTACCCATAAAGATTTCACCGTCCAACCTGCTACTGACACTTTGCTTACCCATAAAGATTTCACCGTCCAACCTGCGAGTCGCACTTTACTTACCTTCACTGCTGTTCCTGATGGCAAACATTCGGAGTCAGGATCACTATTCTTATCTTGATGCAGTGTTTGTAGTTCCAATCCATCTGAGCTTCCATTGCTTCTGCTAGGAGGCTCTCCATCATTCCCCGATAATGAAGAATTCATGACTGGTTTGAAACTGACTTCCAAATCATGCTGGAAATACAAAACTACAAGCTATGTATACATCAACTCCAATAAAAAAATAGCAGCCCAAATGAAAAAAAAAATACATGTACTGTTTTTTTAAACTATCCACATCCGTGTTTACTAATGACATATTCACCTATTGAACAGACGGACATAAAATATCGCTATCTTCAATTTCTTTTTGTAAATGAATTGTGATTGCTACCTGAATTACAAATTTCAGCAATGGCCATGTTGAAAATCTCCTCCGAAGCTTCCACCAGTTTCAAATCTTATACACAAGACGGAAAAAGTATCCAAAATCTCCAGGCCATCTGAGTTGGGAGATACAACCTGTAAATAAAAACTCACATTATGGGCGTCATTGCTGCTAGTGTGGCTAGTTCTGTTGGATGACCCCTCGACCTCTGCACTCATCAGAAAGGCCTGCAGCCTGTGAGTGCTCACAACACCGGTAACCATGTACGAGATGTAAAACGGGAAGTAGAAGAGGGAATTCTCCAAGATGAAGAAAAGAGACAGGGCGGGTAGAGCCACCTCTGGAGTCAGAGCCTCGCCAGACAGGAGGGTGTAGGTCCCAAATGACTGGAAGGAGAAAAACCATAACAAGGAAAAAAACTTCAATTGAGCTGTTAAGTCTCTAGACGTGTGATTTCTCTAATAAGCCATTATTTGACAAGCACTGACTGACACAATATTACACCGTTCTTAACGCGAAGTGAACATGAAATTCAAACATCCAATACGATCAGACAGGTGAACAGAAAATACCATGTCCTGGATTTGTGCAGAAATGTTATGACATAACTGTTACATTCTTGCAACGTGTGAGAAACCGTGAACAATGCAACTTTTAAATGGACTACGGATATGATGGGTTGGCTGATTTGTTTATATACTGACAATGGACAACATCCAAAAACTATGGACAGAACTCTCTGTCCCCTTACAGAGGCCTGTGTATGGCATGATGTGCACCTGACCAGGGTCTTCACTTGGCTACTCGTGTTTCCGTAGTCTTTCTTCTTAGCCATAGTTGGGTTTTGTGCATGGAGTTCATACAAAACAGCTTTGCTCATGCAGCAAAACTGATGTGTTGTACTTTGCTACGCAGGCAAAGGACGCACAAACCCTCGTTAAATACATGCAAACAATAATGTAACATAAATGCACACTTACAATCAAGGTTATCAAGACGGGGCCTCCCGATGCTATCGTGGCTGTTGGAAATCAAACGTTGGGTGGAAAAACAAAGAGGACAATGGTAAAACAGAAGAACTTGACATGCCTCTCATCAGTGAAAATAAATGCTTTCTCATGTGGCACATGTTCTACCTGATTGTCTTGTGTAACCCCAAACTCCCTCGGTCCTTTTGCTTCAACCTTTTCTGGATCCTATCAAATCGTCCACTTACATGTAGCAGGTAACCAATGGCACATGGTTCATTCTTTGCACTTCAGTTTTGAATGGTAAAGTCACAGTTGCAAAATCTTCAGAAATCTTCTTTTGGCATCTACGTAGGAGTGTTGGGGCAAATAAAGATCCCAAGACAAAGACCAACAGAATAAAGACCAACAGTGTATGTCGGTCCAGACAGCTCATCTGTCAGAGTGCCAGTCTGGTATTTCTGGAGCTTGCATCCTCTATAACTTCTGCTTCAGTTAGTTTCTTTGATCAAGCATCAAAATTGATCATGGTACCTCATGGACACAGTAGAAACATTATAACCTTCACTATTCCAGGTCTCTGGCTTGCTTTGGCTCCAATTCTTATCATATAACTATTTTTAATGCAAAATTAGAAAAAATACTCCTCTTCTAAAACTTCTTTCAAACCTCAAATTCTCATATGAACCATATGAACCAAGAAGACCTATTTCTTTCTCTAAAAGGCAAAAGTCTTTGTGAAATGAAGTCCACATGTGGAACTGGGTTTTCAGTCCCTACTTGATTATGTGGGTTTTACCCAGAATATTCCTCTAGGGTTTTCCTCCCACCTCTAAAACTGTAACTGCTTCTCATTGTCTCCTCTCTACAGGTTTCTTCAGGCTTGTGAGCTACAGTGCCTTGGGCACTTTTGAGGAATCCTTGATGTCATTACCAGAAATGATTAATAATAATAATAATACAGTAGATTCCCGTTGGAGCGCTCTCCAGGGGACCTAACAGAATTGAGCGTTATGGCCGCACAGTGCTATGACCGACTGGATGGACGTGCAACGAATGTTATAGCCGCACAGCGCTATAACCGACTGGATGGACGCCCAACATGTGTACTGCTATGTAAATGTATAGATTCATGTATCTACATGTACGTCATGTATGTGAATTTCGTTTACATGCATTGGCTGATGTATGTACCGCAACTTTCAGAGTATATTCCTTGTATCTGTTTATCTCAACCTTTTTGTGACGCCAATGAAAAACAATACCAAATCTCTTAAAAAACCGCCATGGGACCTCGTGCACGCTGCATCACGGCACGCACACTGCATCTAAACCCACAGCAACATCCTAACTGCTACTGTGTACCCATTCATGGACAGTCCAATCGCTGCCTTTTCCCAATAACCATGAGACTGCAGAAAGTGATATGTTATCAGAAAACCGAAGTGAACACAGCCCCGACATGTCACGCTGATCACAATGGGTGAAAAGACAAGATTTGCGACACTAAGATACACGTACAGATTAAGCTGCTGATTTTATTTATCAGTAGAAAGAAACCTTTAGCTAACAAAATACTACTTATAGTATCTCAGTGTTGATTATTCATGTCCCAAACTACAACATGGGACTAAATAAAAAGTGGGAAAATAATCACTACAATGTTGCCACTGCAAAGCCACGCAGCAGTGGCTCACCGTGGTGAGCACGTGCGCGCGGTCACACTGCATGGACGGCCCAGTGCATGTCTGCACTGTGTGAGCACGTGTGCGCAGTCACACTGCATGGACGGCCCGGTGCATGTCTGCACTCTGTGTAATCGCTAAACAACTGGTGTCCCAGATGGCCTGCCGGTCGCGGCGCGGCGGCCTTGCGATGCAGTTTCATATACGGGTACGTTGATTTTCAAAGAATCTGATTTTCCAAGGTAAAGAGCGCTGAGACTGGAATCATTTTACATGCTGTATATGGTTCTCGGGGCCGAAAGTCTTGAGCGTTATATCTAGAAAAGCACTGTAAATGGGAGCGCTATAACCACGTAACAATGTACACAGTGAATGGATGTACAGTTGGGGAAATGAAAATAAAGCGTTACATCGGTGAGAAGGTTATATCAGGGAGCGCTATAACAGGCATCTACTGTAATAAAAAATTCTTTAACACACCCACATGTACTTTTTAATAAATGCAGCAATCCACTCTTGGGCATAATGCTGACCTGCACAGGTATCACAGGCATGGAATTTCCCACTTACTTGACACGGCAAAGAACACATATCTGAAGAGATTAGCCAGCAGCTCTTGCTTCCGGACAGACTCAATGGTCTGACGGAAGACATCTTCCCACCCGTACATCTTGACCAGCCTCATGGCCACCAACAGCTCTTTACAATATTTCAGTCGACTGTCTGAAAAAAGCTGCAAAAGATTGACAGGTTATTTGTCCATGTCTCTTAAAATGGAGAGTATGAACAAACAACACTAATAAAACATGCTATCCAACAAAATAGGCATGTAAATGGCAGAGCTCTTACCCTTTAAATTCTATCAAAAATGGAATTCTATCAGAAACTTGAGGTTAACAAGAAACAAGCTAATAGCTATGGTCTCACCCCCCCCCAAATTTATAAATTTAAGTCAATTTCATAGGGCAGGTAAGTAGTAAACAATTTGAATTGCTTATTCATGTAATAGTTTCTTCGTTGAGTTTTGCTGTGGATTTAAGCTTTTACCCAATTTTCTGCTCAAACTTTGTGAACTCGAACCAAGTATCTTTTCAAAGCAGGATAAACTCTTGAGTAACATACCAAATTAGCACTGCAGGGTAGTAACATGGAACTAATGCCTTTAACACAAGTAAAAAAAGAAGCCTCATCAAAATCAACAAAAGTTGAATCTGCCAGCCAACGAGGGTCAACTTGATGAATCATTAAAACCACAGCACTGCTCACAGAAACAACCTTACCAGTGCTTTCTTCTGGAATTTAGATATGCCCCTGCCAGCAAGGGTGGTAAGAGGCATCATCAGGAAGAGGGAGGCAGCACCAATGAGAGCGGAGAACCCAAGGAGGAGATACAGAAGCACTATGTTGATGAGTATCTTAGAACAAAACACAAACAGAATGTTGGTCAAGGAAATCTGCCAGGATTTGTTTGTATCACAAATTCAAGCACAGACTATGGGTACTAAAGACATGGGGCACGTATGGCACTATCGATAAGCCCAATGCATTGTCTATGAGGCTGACAAAACATGAGACAAAAATCTTCGTTTTACTGCCACATGAGCAAAAAACTATGTTGCTATGTAATATTGCCATGTTGAAAAAGGTCATGCATCTGTGTTTTCAAAAAGCGGATATTAAACTGATTCATTTCTGTCAAACTAGTTTGGAAGGTTAAAAAGAGATCTGTATTTCAAAACATGAGAGTCTGCAAAAGTTGACTCCCATGTTGGAACTAAATGCTACCATGGCGCCTACTATCATGACAGCCAAGACAAGGCAAATTGTGAAAGCACACTGGTGTGCATTAATGCATGGAGAGTGTATCAGTCATTTTGAACCAGTTGCTGAAACTGTTCAGTGAATTCACATATATGCCAAGCAATAAAGAGAAGAGCGCCAGTGACAAACACTGTACTTCAAACGACATTTTAGTTGGTAACCTGTTTTTTTCTCAGCATGTACTGCCTGTGCTGATGAGCATTTTTATGATCAGCTGCTACTTGAAAGAGGCTCCTTGTAGTCAGGCCTGCCGTGCTAATGGAGGATTGAAAAAAGCCTAACAGTGAGTATTTACAAATACAGAGACATTGGTTTACGCATGCCGAAGAGTACCGATAGCGTTGTGATCCATATCGAGTGAAACTCCATAAACATCTGCTGGAGGTTGGCAGGGTCGGTGGACATGTAGTTGACCAGCTTGCCTGCTGTGATGCCATTACTGGAGCCACCTCCATTCAGTGCCAGGCACAGGGATTTGTCATACACCATGCCCTGTTGGTGGATGCACAGCATAACGACCCATCACTAGTACCAACCCTTACACTTAATTTTTTCCCCCGGAGGACTCCCAAAGGATTTGTGCACAAGTTTACAAACACATCCCTCGACTGTATATCACAAGAGAATTTATGAGAAGCTGAGAACAAATTACACACCACCGAGGGGGAGGGGATCCTCTGCCAACAGAGACCTTTATCATTATGCTGCCATGTTTGTCTTGTTCCCGGCAGATCCACTGGCAGTAGCAATACATCTTTACATATTGGTAAAAGGGAACAGACTATTTTTCCTTCCAGCCTCAGTTTGGTGTAATACATTGCTTAGAATGGTAGAAAAGCAAGATGGTTGCCCCGTGAGGTACCTTGCATCAAAAGAATCTTGGGCTCAATGCCATGTGAAATTTTTGTTGTTTTTTTTCTGCCAAGAAAACTACCATCAAGCAGTTGAAGGAAGAGAGTGCTGCTTGAAGAGGAGAAAAACCTACAACCAACTACACAAATAGGACAACATGTACAAAATTCCTGCATGAACTGCCAATGGAAGGAGCAAGATGGTGGATGGAAAACGGCTTAATTAATTCTCGCTGATCTGTTGACATAGGATCAGAAAAGAACCAGATTGATGTCCCCATGACCTCTGGTGTGGCATCAACCTTACTTAGTCTGTGTCATTTTACCATGGTAGCCGAATCAATTGTCAATGAACTATTCTCCCCGAGGGTACATGTACGGTACTAACTCAAACATTAAGGTGAATGTAGCACAGCATTGTACTCCGTGCTTGCACATCCTCATACCTAGGCAAGTCAGACTATAAATGGAAGGCACCGTAGCAGTGTCTGGCATGAAAAAAAAGGCAAGCAACTAGTAAAAATTCTAGAAGTTGTGATCGCGTTGTCATCCCTCATGTTGCCAGGTGGTCACTAGTGGTTGCCAGCCCACTGAAGATGAGGACTGATCATGAGATGCAGAGAGAAAACCAAATGGCCACATACCTGGAGGGCTATCTTTGTGTGTATGGCTTGTACTGTCAGAAAGTACTGGACCGAGCGGGTACAGAAGACGAGGGTTAATTTGGCGACAAAGAGAATGAAGAGGAGGATGTAGCCATTTGAGAGGAACTCGCTGACTGTGATGAAATGCTGGTCCTCCTAAAACCGAACAGTAATAATACAATCTCACAGTGTTTCTGAATAGAGACGAATAACAAGGACAGATATACGCACGGCAGTAAGTAGACCAGTCTAAAGGTGGTGCATGGCAGCCATTTCTCCAGTAAAAGCCTTTGTTCCACAAGGATACACATGAAAAGACCTTTTGTGCTCTTCCTCCGTAAAAAAACAAAGGCAGTTACCGGAAAGATGGCTGCCCTGCACTACCTCTGTGAGGTCAAGGAAAAGAAGGCACCTGCATCATTGAAACTATTTTGAGAGAGGAATACCCTTTCCCAAATGTACATCTAGTGCCTTGGAACAGTCAGCCGCGATTCAGTTTAAATAACTCTGTCCAAGGCACTTATATGCATGCCCTTTCCCCCAAAATAATATCATTGTGAACTTATCCGCCCTTTTTATTTTTATCTCACTTCATTTATTTC